CTGGGAAGACCTCTTATCTCAGGATGTATGCACAGCGGGGGTTCTGGAACTTGCCATCACACCAAATGGTGGGTAGTGGTGGTTTGGTCTCACCTCACCACTCCCAACTTCTTCCAGCCACACCGGGTCAGATGTCATGTTACTTTCTTTGTTTCCGGGATTTGCATGAGAGGCGTACCTAACCGCCTCCCATTATCATATTGTCTCTATATAATCTCATGAATGTGTTTCTTCTACGCTTCCTGATTCAAATCTGGACCCCACAGCAGCCCGAATCGATTCGTAAACTGCAGAAAGCAAAAATTAAAACCCTTCGAAGGAACTGTACATCGCCTCCAGCCTTTATTTGGATTACCAACATTCTCATCGTCCGAAATTCAACGAACACGCGGGAAAGAGGAGGCCGCTCTCACCCCAATTGGGGGAAAAAAATGGACGGAACAAGCTTGTTTGTGAAATCTGCCTCGTGTCAAGCTATATATTGTAACTTAATGTAGTGCTTGGATAACATCCAACACAGACTTCTATTATATAACTCAAGCATGACTATTTCTGGTGCTATTGGAATCTTTTGAAACTCCCCTGCTGCATTCAGAACAAATGATTGCCAGGATGGCAGATTTGTGCTTCTTGCCAAGCTACTGAATTACAATTTCTGTGAAATTACACAACCAAGTACATTTTTTTGGGGTTAAACTCAGCTAAATCGGTCTAATGTTAGAGCCAAAAGCTAAGGAGAGCGGAAGCATTGTTGGATGCACAAACTGTTGTCAGTTCACAGTGTTATCTGTTCAGGTACAGGAAAGAGAGAAGTAGCAGTGGATCCAAGAGTGAGTGGGGAGCAGGATAATCGTAGGGTAGTGATGGGTCCAGCGACACCGATGCGTTGACGCATGCGTCGGGCTCACGGAGCAATCCACATGTCGGTGCGTGTGCTGCTTCATGAGATCACGTGATCAACACGCGAACTGCGTCGGCGCAGCCTAAACTGCGTTGACACAGTCCCAGTGGCGGGCCGTGCATTTCAACCTTAGGCCTTCAGTGACGTCACATATTATGAACACAAGACTGTACTGTATAGGCTCGTCAAGCAGCACTTAATTTCAGGAGCATTTAAAACTATCAAGTATGCATTCACAATTAAGAGCAGGAAACTACATTTACAGATAGTCAAAAATAAAAAGATGATTTACAAATACGAAATAAAATGCCACCCAAATTACGCTGTGTGATCTTAAACAAGTCTGTCCAATAAATTGCGCAATGTCGCAGTTTCAAATAAGACACCAACCAAACAATAACAAAACAAACTGTTCTTTGAAAATAAAGTAAACAGATCATTTGCATTTTGAAAATCGACGATACAACAGCAAATAACTGACATAACTGACTAACTAATAACTGACTAACA